ACCCATCCACTGTCTTTCCTCTCATTTCTTTCCCTCTTCCTTCGGTTAACTTCGCTCGGGTTTGAGAGCTGTCCCAAATGCGACCGAACCCTCGCCTACTTTCGCCCCCGAACTTGCACCGTTTTCTATTGTCGGTTTCCTTTACTCGCCGCATCCGGTAAGAGAAGGTCGCTACCTCCAATAAGAGAAGGTACTTTGGTGTATTATTTTTGCTTTTGTTATGGATGTTCTCACTAGACATTCGTAAGAGAATGAACCTTGGTGTATGCATTTGATGTTGTTATGGATGTTCTCACTAGACATTTGCAAGAGAAGATATCTTGGTCTATGCTTTTTGGTTTTGTTATGGTTGCTCTCACTAGACATTTTCCAAAGAATGAACCTAGGTGTATTCTTTTGCTTTTGTTATGGATGTTCTCACTAGACATTTGTAAGAGAATGTATCTTGATGTATGCTTTTAATTTGTTTTTGTTATGTATGTTCTCACCGGACATTAAACGCCGGAATATGTTAATGGAAAGACATCGTTTTCCCCTCATTTTTCAGTAAGAAATTCATCGGAAACGTCGCCGTAAACATTTCCAAAGGAAAAACTTCGCCGGTTTAGATTTTCCAACGTGCAAATTACAGTCGAATCATTTTTCGCTGGAAAAAAAGAAATTTCTGACAGATCTTTACTGTCACCAGTGGATTTAGTCGGTTTCCTTTACTCGCCGCATCCGGTAAGAGAAGGTCGCTGCCTCCGGTTAGAGAAGTTTTTTTGGTGTGTTCTTTTTGCTTTTGTTATGGATGTTCTCACTAGACATTTGCAAGAGAATGAATCTTGGTGTATGCTTTTGCTTTTGTTATGGATGTTCTCACTAGCATTTGCAAGAGAAGATATCTTGGTCTATGCTTTTTGGTTTTGTTATATATGGATGTTCTCACTAGACATTTTCCAAAGAATGAACCTTGGTGTATGCTTTTGCTTTTGTTATGGATGTTCTCACTAGACATTTGTAAGAGAATGTATCTTGATGTATGCTTTTAATTTGTTTTTGTTATGTATTTTCTCACTAGAAATTAAAACGCCGGAATATGTTAATGGAAAGACGTTGTTTTCCCATCATTTTTCAGTCGGATTTCATCGGAAACGCCGCCGTAAACATTTCCAACGAAAAAACTTCGCCGGTTTAGATTTTCCAACGCGTGAATTACCGTCAGATCATTTTTCGCCGGAAAAAGGAAATTTCTGACGGATTTCTACTGTCACCAGTGGATTTAGTCCGCGCGGTAACAGAGCATTTTCCGTTAGCGAATTTTCATTAATCATGCATATTAATGATATGATGATGCCTACTACACATGATATTGCAAATACTCGTATTCCAACTACTTTATAGTTATTCATTCTTTATTTGTTGCATCATTATTGATAACTAATGTGATATGATTGATATATTTGAGGTACTCGTAAATTCAATTGACTCACACCAACCTCATTAAACATTTTAGTAGCATTTTAGGAATCATCTAGAGAGTGGAACAGTGTTATTGATTATAATTTTTATAGCTATAGTCTTTATTAGATGTATTATAACTATAATAAACGGCTATATACTTTAAGAAAGTGACTGTGAATATGTTTGTTTAAATTTAGTATGTAGTACTGGACTTTCATGTAACTCCTTTAAATGATATTATAGATGTTATGCAAGTGTTTGCTTTGTTTTGTTAAATATACAGAAAATATGCCCTCTTCACCTACACTTTCTATTTCATTATTCTTCTTCTTTTTTCGCCATTTTAATATAGTTGTTGAATTGCATGTAAAAAGAGATAATTGATCGATCAGAGGACATCATTATTTTTAAGAAATATATATTAATAAGCCATCATTATTTAATATTTAGAATAATAAATATTCAATTTATGCCCCTTCAAATTAATAAAACTAATTTATATACTTGGCTATCGCTTAGATAATAAAATAATACACAAAGAACATAAAATCTTTTGTTAATAAAAGTAAAAAAGTAATAAAATGAAATTCTCTCAATTGATTAGGGATTTACATACATAATACATATTTCTTATTTATTTATATTTCTAACACCTATATATATATATATAAACAGCATCTGTGTAGAGCTCAAGACAATCTTCAAGGCAACCCTTCTCATATTTCTTTCCAGCAGGGAGGGATTTCAATAGCTTGTTGATAGTAGATTGAATGTTAGCGGCTTTCGCCCCTGCAATGTCGAGAGAGATGACTCCAAGACCCGAGAGGTCAGCATTACGGCTCTTTGGGTTTGAGTTAAGAAGGCTAACACATAAGTTATAGTCAAACCCATGGTCGATTTTGACGCAACGGTTGCAAGTATTTTCGACGATGCTACCTGAGACAATGGAGGATTGATGGAGGAGGAGGAGGAAAAAAAGAGAGAAAATGATGGAAGAGAGAAATTGGCTCATCTTTGTCTTCTTATTTTGTGATGAGCTGGTTAAGCAAGTTTTCTTGGATGGATGGGAAAGGGGGATGATGTGAAGAAGGGAGAACCAATGTAGTATTTGTGAAGGTGTGTGGAGGTGATGGGTTAGTATTTATAGCGGTTGGTATTTCCTTTTTTTTCTGATGAGCTTAGTTTTAGGAAGCTTTTTGTTTTGGTTACTCAAACAACTATCTGTGGGACTGTGGGGCCCTTATGTTTTTAACCAGTTTAAGTGGTTAAAAAATATATATTTTAGGCTGGAAAATTCTCATTTTTTCTATTTTTATTCACGTTTTATCAATTTTATTTACATTTTATCGATATTTATTTCTTTCTCTAAAAAATTCAGTTTTATGAAAGTTTCTGTTGTGGTTCTCAACAAATATTTGTTAAAATTAAATAAATTACAAATATGAGCTGATTTCAAGCATTATAATAGATAATTCTAAATTCAATTATGATCTACTTAATTTTATGTATTGATTTTGATGTAAATGAAATTTATATTATTTATTTATTTTAAAATAATAATAATTTCATGTTAAATATATAATAATAATATTTCATCATTTTCATGTGTTGTATGTAATTTGAGGTCGAGCAAATTTCTAATACGATTCAATTAAATATTTTAAACACGAATTTAGGATTTATTTGTAACAACTTTCTAACTACTTTGTTTTCAGATTGCAATATGCACTGCATTTTGTTGCTTTTTTTAAGGTGGGAAATTGTTTCTTGCAATCGGATCTATCGGGAGTTATAAAAAGGACGATGTACGGCTATTTCATGTTAAATATATAATAATAACATTTCATCATTTTCATGTGTTGTATGTAATTTGAGGTCGAGCAAATTTTTAATACGATTCAATTCAATATTTTAAACACGAACTTAGGGTTTGTTTGTAACAATTTTCTAACTACTTTGTTTTCAGAATGCAATCTGCACTGCATTTTGTTGCTTTTTTTAAGGTGGGAAATTGTTTCTTGCAATCGGATCTATCGGGAGTTATAAAAAGGACGATGTACGGCTTCTGAAAAAATTTAAGAATGGGAAAAATCATTGGGACTAATTAAGTTGTACTAATCTGCTATATAATTGAAGATACGAGAATTCTCTTCTATGATAATAAAGAAGATGAGATTATACATAGTTTAGAATTATTCTTAGATTTTTATTGAAGAGATTATGGAAATTAGCTGTCCACAAGCAAATGGTTAAAGCCCCCTAAAATATATATTAGTGAATCACATTTATTTTTCATATTTCTTCATAGATTGTGGATCATTGAGTCAAGGGTCATTATTATATTTTTATCACATCATGAGAGCTATATTGTAAAATCAAAACGGGTCGAATTTGCAAACCCTTAAATACAAAATATTTCTACTTTCTATGAGAGATATATTGTACAGTCACCAATTTGGTCATACTTTTCATGAACAAAAACTTCCCGACCTCCCTATTTTTAGGAATTACTCTCATATTTATTGCATCCTTGAGAACTAAGATGTTCATTAAAATTTACTTCTAACGCTCTTTATCGAGATTATACAATACAGGAAAATCACGTATTACCAGCAGATTTTTCGACAAAAAATTTAATTTTCCAGCGGATTTCCAGCTTAAATCTTTTCGACGGTAAAATGCATGTCGGAAAAATTTTCCGTCAGAAAAAACCACTGGAAAATTTTTCCAGCAGAATTTTTTTTCCAGGAAAATTTTCCCACAACCGTCTGACAGAAAAAATTCGTCGGAATAATTAAAACAAATAACAAATTTTAATCTACTAGCACGGCAGCTGGCCGCCCAACTGCGTGTTGCTCACCTGCCTGACCGCGTGATGCTTACCGGAAAAATTTTAAATTAACTACAACAAGCTATAAAATTATTAATTACGTAAATAATGAATATATAATAATTTTTAGAAATTATTAAAATCCGTCAGATAATCAGCTAGAAAGCTGTCGGAAATATTATGAAAATTTTGCGTGAAAATCAGTCGAAAAATTTCATTGTAATCCCCTAAAAAATTCATCGATAATGAGCAATTTTTTTGTAGTGATATAAACACTATGAGTTAAAAATAAGAATTTTACCTTAGTTTTTTAAGAGAATAAACTTTCTCTCTTATTATAACTTTATAAATAGACGCATATGCCGAAATACATAATTTTAATATTGCACGAAAATAATTTATATTATTCCAGAACTATTTATTTATTTATTTATTATCAGTAATTTGCTTTTAAACCAAATTTAAATAAGCACAAATTTTAATAATTTTTAGGACCAATTCCATTAATTAAGTCCACAAGTATAAGCAAATATCTGATTCTAATTTTTATTTATTTTGGTGATATAAAATATAACTTAAAAATTGTAGATAAATTGATAAAAAATATATATATATTTAATATTTTAAATATTTTTTTTATGGAAAATAATTTATTTGATAAAAGTATAAAACAATTTTTTTAAAAGAGGAAGAAAATTACTGAGAAGCTTCTAAAACCTGCAAAAGCCCCCGTTTCAAACGCCCTACGGATACTTATCGGGAGGATAAAGAGTGTCTCCACCAACAGAGAGCAGAAGAGAATCCTAAGAAATGGCTAACCTCCGCCTTGCAATGGACGCAGCGTTCTGGGATCTTAACGTTGCCTCGTCGCAGACACTTGATGGCGTCGTCCGCTCCGTCGCCGGCGAGCCGGCGCCGTCGTCTACGGAGCGAGCAAGCCGCACCGTTCGGCCGCAGCAGCTCTCCTTCCTACGCCAGGTGTTCCCACTAGGCATCATTCCATGCTTTGCCCCCTCACCTTACAAGGATATCGGCTCCTTCGCCGTCCAGTCTCTCCTCCTATCCCCAGCTTTTTCCCAAATGTAAGTCATCGGCTCTTGTAGGGTAGTAGAAAGTGTTATGATGTAGAATTGGCTGTTCTGAGAAATGTTATTTAATTTTTTTTTAAATTTGTCTTTGCGGGATGATGTTAGGTGCTTAGGGTTTGTTTTTGCTCAAATTGATGGAATAGCAGCAAATAGCATCCTTCTATCCAGCATCTTTGTGTAGTGTTATTTCAATAGCATTGTTGATATGGATGCTATTCATATATTTGTGACATTTATGAATTCAGTGTGTTTGGTTCAATGCTAAGAATGAAATATTATTCAGAACAATTGATGTTGATTCTGCCTTTTTTGACCAAGGTTGGTTGTTATCTAGAGAGCATCCAATTTGGCCACCTTTTGGTTTACTGTCATTTAGATGTCATCGTCTTCCAATTGTTATTTGTTTGTTTCCGTGCTTATAAGCTTGACACCTATATATTGTCAGATTTGGATGATATCTCAATGCAGGAAAATGGAACTTGAACGTCCCTTTCATGGGGAATTTGAGAAATAAACATTTTCCAATGACGTTACATTACATAGCATTGTTAGAGGCCTGCACAATCCGTCCCTTTCATGGAGAAATTGAGAAATAAACATTTGCCAATGACATTACATTACATGGCATTGTTGGCTACACAGGCTCAAGGCATTGTAAAAGAAAAATCTTTTTAAATGCATCGACTTTTCTGGAGGTTGCAAGAGAAGTGCACAATTCATCTCAAGATTTGCAAGTTTGAATTTGTTTGTGATAGAGGACCTGGATTATATTTGTTCAAGTGGGTAATGAGTTGGGCTTTTTCGTTGCTTGCTTTAACTTCTTCCTAACATTGTTGGATTTTGACGTTTTTATTGTTTTTCGGTGGGCTTGAGAATTTTAAGTTGATATTAGCTCTTTGTGACCTTTTTGTTAAACTGAAATGATAGTAATCTAGTATGTGGATAGCGGTATTGGCTTGTAGTTTAGGCAGCCTCATCAACTAAAGATTTGTGGACGTTAAGAGAGGAAGTGAGTGAGAAGTAATGATTCTTCTGAACAGACAACCTAGAGATTTAAGTGTAGATTGGAGTTTTCTTAATTTACAATATCTCCATTCTTCACTTGATTATGAAATGAAGAGAAAACATGAGGTATCTAAAAACGTTTGAATTGTTTGATCATATGTATCACATAACAGAATTGTAAGACCTGCATGGAGATTTGTTTTGCTATATTAGACCATTAAATGCTTCGGATTTTTCTATATTAGGTTTTTAGTAAAACATGCAAGGGAAAGGATTATATTGCACTTGCACCTTCTCCATGACTTAATGACCATGGGTAACATACTTGAAGAACAAGTCCATTTTTATGACAGCAGTGCTAATTTATAAACATATCACAACAAGCAGCACAAAGTTACCAGTGGATGCCTTGTATATGTAATTAAAAACCTTTCTTGCTGCTCAACCTGCAATCTTCCATGAAAAGTTTAAGTTCTAGATGTTAATATCTTGATTTTCACTTCAATGAGCTAGCTGATTAATGAAGGATCTGTTTGCTCCTGGTAGTCATTTGCCCATTTTCTTTTCTTTGATTGAAACTAATGCTCTTTTTCTTTCTGATAAAATAGCCAATCTTAAACTCATATTTGGGATCTTAGAATTTTCTCTGTTTATTCAATTATGAATCTTTCTAACCTTCCTAAGCTGCTTTTTAAGGTGGTTTGGATTAGTAGGGCAATTTCGTCCATGGAAGCTGATATCAAGTATCAAGAAGGAAATAGCAAGTACTGACGACATGGATCTATCCTCATTCAGAGATATCGGAAAACATATTTTGGACAAATCCCTATATGCGCTTGGTTTTTTCTCACAGTTATCTCTAACAGATGATACATCATTGCTTTTTAATGTTGAAAGGCATGGTGAAAGGAAATCCCCTCGTTCAAAAGCTATACTTTTTCACAAGGTTATTCTTTAATGTTCTCAAGCTATCCCTTTCAATTGTGTACTTGAATTTAAGTTTCTGTGATTGATATTTTATCAGATGCTGCTATTATCAAACATGTTCTAGTTTTTCTGTTAAGTTGTATACTTCATATGTTACCTAAGCTTGATTTTCCATTTCGGGTCCATTTGGTTGCTTGATGTTAGAAAACATGTTTTGCAAAATGGTGAATTTTTATATTACGTCATTTAGTTGAAAATGTTTAGAGATTTATACTGGTTTTAAAGTCTACAAACACCTTCAAACCACTCAAATGTAAAAATTTCATTCACATACAACAACAACTAGGGGTACCAAAATGAGTTAACTTGTCGGGTTTGAGTCTGACCTAAAATTAACCCCACCCGAATTTAGTCATCCCGAACCCGACCCATTTAATAAACAGGCCAAAAAATTTGAAACCGAATCCGACCCACTTGCAACTCGGATGACCCGAACCCGACTCGATAACTCCTTTTGATTAATTTTTTTTTAATAAATTAGTAACCATAGATTTTAGATTAATTACAAAAAACATGACCATCATACGAAGAAATAAAAAAATTAAGTAAAAAATATTAAATGGGTCACTTTTAGGTCAAAATTATGTTGGTGGGTCAATCCAAATTTGCCCTATTTATTAAACATGTCAACTCAAACTTGGATTTTTCGAGTCTGGATGGCAAGTCGGGTCATTTATTAACACTCCTAGCAATACAACAACAATAGTAAGCCCTTATCTCGCTGCATGGGGTCAGCTACATGAATCATTTTTATCCATTGTGTTCTATTAAGATTTATATTTCATTCACACAAATTGAATGAAAATTAAATGATTATTTTTTAAAACATGTGTCTATTTACAAGCAAACCAAATGAGACCTAAGCATAATGATGATCTTCATGGATATTGCTCTTCAAAACTAGCCGCATTTCCTTGTTTTTCTTTTTAGTCTCATCTTTTTGAAACCTTGTATCATTTCTTTCTTTTCATTTCTTCTCAAATGATCTGTGATTTTACTAAGTTGGTTCATCTTCCTCTGTGGATCATTTTGTATTTTATTCAAACCCTCAGTCAGTTATCACTATATCATTTACATCTACAGCTTCCCAACCATGATGTAACACTGGAAACAGCATGGCCAGAACTGTATGTTGAAAGGAATGGAACATATTGGGAAGTGCCAAGTTCTGCATCATTGGATGTTTCATCTCTTATATCTGAGTCTGGTTTTAGATATCGTTTTGGTTTACACAAAAATAGCGGAAACCCAGAAGCGATTAGTTCCTCTCACAGTGACATTCCTTTGTCTCTTATGCCTGGAATATGCGCAAAAGCTGCTTTTTCTGTTGAGAAGAGTAGAGACTTTTGGAGAGAAAGTGAAGAGCCTGTTTCCCAAGAAAGAAAATCAGAGAAAAAACCTGCTTGGTTGATTTCGTATGACAAACAACTAAAAGATCCTCATGCTGCCGTATCAGGAATAATAGGTAAAATATTGCCAGCTACAGTTTATCTATACACACACACATATAAGCTTATGCATTCAAGGTTACTATTTTGTAGCCAATCATTTATTTTGTGCCCATGACACTTTTTGAGTTCCCTATGCGATTTTTTTGAATTACACATATGTATATACAAAGTTACAAACCTAAGAAGTGGAAGATATCTATGTGATGAAAAGGCAATAACAAAGGTTTTATAGTCTAATATCTACACACATTCATGGTATCAAAGAAGAATTTAGAAATAAAAAGTGTCACATGATGAATAATAAAATAAAATAAATAATCCTAAATTCTTGAAAACCATCTAATTTTTCAATGGAGACAATTCTAGAAATTAATTTCTTAAACTAGGTAAAATAAGTAATTTTTTTTCATTGATGAGATCTATTATGCATGAGTATTTCAAATGTGCATTTATAACTGTGACTATATATATAAGATTCCCCTGACATTCATACTCTCTCTCCTTTACATGTTCTTGTACGATTGAGTGCCCCTCAACATAAGCTCCTCTCCTTTAAGGTTTTATTGTCTAATATCTACACACATTAATTCATGGTATCAAACAAGAATTTAGAAATATAAAGAATCACATGATGGATAAAAAAAATACAAATGAATAATTATGAATTCTTGAAAACCATCGAATTTTTCAATGGAAACAATCGTAGAAAGTAGATATTTCTTAAATTAGGGAAAATAAGTAAATTTGTCTTGATTGAGGAGATCTATTATGTATGTGTTTTTCAATTTTTCATAGGTATGTGCATGTATAATTGTCAAAGTACATATACAAGATTCCTTTGACATTCCTACTCTCTCTCCTTCACATGTCCTTGTACGATTGAATGCCCCTCAACATAAGCTCTTCTCCTTTAAGGTTTTATAGTATGATATCTACACACATTAATTCATAGCATCAAACAAGAATTTAGAAATATAAAGTATCACATGATGGATAAAAAAATCAAATAAATAATCATGAATTCTTGAAAATCATCTACTTTTTCAATGGAGACAATTGTAGAAACTTCTTAAACCAGGGAAAATAAGTAAATTTGCCTTGACTGAGGAGATCTATCATGCATGTGTATTTCCCTTGACATTCCTACTCTCTCTCCTCACATGTCTTTGTACGATTGAAGGCCCTTCAAAATAAGCTCCTCTCTTTCACATGTTCGTGTAATATCAGACTATTATGTATGTGTTTCTCAATTTTTCATGGGTATGTGCATGTATAATTGTCAAAGTATATATATAAGATTCCATTGACATTCCTACTCTCTCTCTCCTTCACATGTCCTTGCATGATTGAGTGCCCCTCAACATAAGCTCCTCTCCTTTATGGTTTTATAGTTTGATATCTACACATTAATTCATGGTATCAAACAATAATTTAGAAATATAAAGTATCATGTGGTGGATAAAACAATCAAATAAATAATAATGAATTCTTGAAAACCATCTATTTTTTCAATGGAGACAATTCTAGAAACTTCTTAAACTAGAGAAAATAAGTAAATTTGCCTTGAGTGAGGAGATCTATTATGCATGTGTATATTCCTTGGCATTCCTACTCTCTCTCCTCAAATGTTCTTGTATGATTGAAGGCCCTTCAACATAAGCTCCTCTCTTTTACCTCCCTTGTCCGCGACGCATCCCTACCCAATATAAAACTGTTGATAGTCAACTGTCTTCTGAACTCCAAGAAATTCATAGAAAAATAGTGAAAGCAACATAATTTAGAAAAAATGTGTCTGATTTTTTATTAATACTCGACAAGAAACAAAAGATACAAGTGATCTATAATTAGAGTGGTAGATCGTCTCTCCCAAATCCCAATCAACCTTGACGCCGCAGAAAGATTCATAATTGAATAAATAGATAGTGGGAAAATAAATTCAACAATATAATGATCTCTAACCTTAATCAAAATTCTCCCTTAAATAGCTCTAGTCACAATAACACAAATAGAATCTTCCTAAACAATTAAACATGATTAGGAAATATTTCTAAATAATTAAATACATTTTAGGAAACCTTCATAAACAATTAAACATGGTTTAGGAAACCTTCCTAAACAACTCCCCCTTAATTAGGATTGTACTAAAAATTTTTTTCTTAATTAGGAACTTTCCTAAACAACTCCCCCTTGATTAGGAACCTTCCTAAATAGGTCCCCCTTCTTGGTTGTGCCCCCCTTGATTAGGAATTGCTATTATATTTATATTTTAATTCACTCGACCACATTGTTTCACGCACTTTAAATACATACCATCAACATTTAAATGAATTTTGATAACATTTTTCCATATTCCATTTTGAAAATTGTCATGTAGTTGGCAACCTTTTCTTTTTGTCCAACTACTCTTGTTTTTAATGGACCTGTACTTATGCATATGAATCAAATATGAACCTCACTTTTATGCTTGTATTATTCTCTATTTATCAAATAAAACTGACATTTTGTACTATAATTAGGCGGAACTAGTGAAGTGTGGTTTGGAGGAAATGGAAACAAGGGTACAAGCTCAAAAGATCAAACAGGGGATGAAGGGATTCGCAGATCAAGTTCACCCTTAAGAACTAGAAATCATTTTAATATGGACTTGTTTGGCTCATTTTGCTGTTCATTCCAAAGAGGCAAGTTTACATATGATTTTAATGACCTCACCAGAGTAGATGCTCGCTTGGATGTTTCGTCAGCCTCAGCTCTCCTTAAGGGTTTTGCTCACTTGGTTTCGGCTACCTTCAAAGGGCAAGTTCAAGGAGCAGTGAATCCTCTTGCTTACCCAAGGCTTAATGTGATTCTTCAACAGCAGGTAATCATTTAAAAGTTGATGTCTATTGTCAACTTATATTATCCTGTTTTCCTTTTTATCCTTTTATCAAATTGAGGTAGATCTAGTGGAGGGATTGCGACTTTGGGCAATCAAGTCATTAATAAAAGTACATGTTTTAGATATCTTGGATTTATTGTTCATAGTGATGGTGAAATAGATGGAGATATTATTAGTAGAATTCAAGTTGGATGGTTGAAATAGAGGAATGCGTTGGGCTTGTTGTGTGATAGAAAAGTCCATCTCAAATTTAAGGGAAAATTCTATAAGATGGTGGTGAGACTTGCTATGCTTTATGGTGCAAAATGTTTGCAATTAAAAGAGAAGCATAATGTTAAGTGTTGTAGAGATGAGAATGCTCTGGTGGATGAGTGGCTTTACTCTTAAAGAGGATACGAAATGAGCATATACGTGAAAAGGTTTGAATAGCTCCAGTGGAAGATAAGATTAGAGAGAGATCCTTAGATGGTTTGGTCACATAAAATGGTGGCTTCCGATGACCCGGTTGGGAAAGTAGATGTTTTGGATTTGACTTATGTTAAGAAATGTAGAGGTAGATCTAAAAAGACTTGGTTAGAAAATATTAGAAATGACCTTTCTTTATTAGATTTAAATAAGATTATAAGAATTTGACTCTTAACAAGACACAATGGAGAAAAATGATTCATGTAGCTGACCTCACATAGTGGGATAAATGCTTGATGTTGTTGTTGTTGTATCAAATTGAGTAATCATGAGCCATGCAATCATGGATTCTCAAGGAAATTGATAGGAAACAAGTGCAGGAATCAAGAAAACCGGTGAAGTTACATTTAAAGAAATACTATGAATCCCTGCTTTTACTGCAGAGTGAACTTAAGACAACTGGCCATCTTTGATTTTGCGAAATTTTGTCAGAATGGAATCAATTCAGGGGCATTAAAGTACAGTTTACATTGCAGCCTATCAACGGCTACGCATTTCCTTCGTATTCACATTATACGATATCTCAAACTGCTTGGATCACAAATCACAACATATATTTGATACAACTTATTTATTTTTAGTAATAATAACATCTATATTCTGCGAACCTACTACCTTGGGAGCAAATAATTAGACAATACATAAATAACGATTCGGTTCTCGGAAGTTGTGATCCACAAACTTCTGTAATGCTGAATAAACATTTAATAAAAACCAAATAAATTATTCTGTTTATTTTTCAATTCAAATATAATTCTCAAGGCATTGTGACAACTTCCATTTTCTATGAGGAATAGACTGATTTGGTGGGGCACCAAGTTCTAGTATGAAAATGAGAATGTTAAAAGGGAAGATAAAATTAGGAAGGAGATATTGAGGAATGACTATATTAGAGGATTGTGAGAGCAGTATTGATTGAAGACAAATTTTTTATATAAATATATTTAAGTGGTTTAAACATATACAATAAAAGAAAGAGAATGCTTCTAAAAGAGTAATAGATAAAGGCTTCGTTTGGAACGGCTTTCTTCCAGCTTCTTAAAACAGCTTTCTAGTATAAAAATTAAAAAAATTTGTACTAGAAAGCAATTTTAAGCAGCAGTAAAAAAGCCGTCCCGAACGAAACCAAAATTAAAATTGATAGATTTGGAAGACGTGTAGATCTAAGTCATCTCAAAGGACTCATAAAGCTAACCTTTTATAATTTTGGGTAGGCTAATATGATGATGATAATGATAGACTAATCATTCATACAGTATAGATCTATTGTTTTAACCTTCTGCTGCCTCTTTATTCTATGTTATTAGATTTTTCTGCCTCACAGATTGCTGGACCAATACTGTTTCGAGTGGACACACGATTTTCATTCAGTTCTCCGTCTGGTAGTCTCCTTCCTCATGTTGAGGATGTGATTTATGGACTGAGCTATTCCTTGAGAATGCTGCAATCTGGGAAGTTCTTGGCTTGGTATTCTGCAAAGAGGAAGGAGGGAATGGTTGAGCTACGGTTTTTTGAATTCTAGGAGACATTTTTGTTCTGTGATTTTGCTTCTTTCTCTTCCCCCAGGTGACAACTCTTTTAGTAATCATTTTGTTGCAATTATCATTCAAAACTTCTCATGCTTTATTAGTACCTTTCATTCATTTATTTTAATCTAAACCATTTTACGTTCACTAAATTTTACTGGTAAGTTCAAATAGCAGAAAGGTGTTCAGAATTCTATTTACCTAAATACTGGATTCCATCTGGGGTTCAGGACTGCACATTAGTTTTTGTTATAGGCACTAATTTTGTAATGATTCAACTGTAGAATACAGCATCCTTCTTATGTGAAAAGCTAAAAATAAGACTTTGGTTGCTTAGCTTTTCCATAATTTAGCCTTCATGGTGATCATGGATAGTGATGAATGTCATGGAAGGGATTTATGCTTTGTTTGAGACAGCTTTGTTACTATTTTATGAAGTGATTTTTTAGTACTAGAAAGCTGCTTCATAAAGTAGTAAGAAAGCTATCTCAAATGAAGCCTAAGCTTTGTTTAGAAAATTCGAGACATATATATATATATAATTTTGATAGAGGGACATGATATATCATGGTAGATAATGTAGAAATCTATTGTTTTCTATGTGTATAAAGTTCATATTAACTCATTTATCACATGAGGCTTGTTTTATTTGTCGTTGTCTTATGTTTTAAAAGCATTTTTTGTTTATCTAAATGTACTAAAAAATTCTCATTTTGCTTACATTTTGTTCTATAATTTTATGAGCATGTGAATTAATTATTAACTTATTGAGCAAACTATGTTTTTAAATGAGAGTTTTATGAGTATTGAATCTTTTGAGATGGAGTAGGAGATTCATTAATTAAAGTTTTAGGTGTTAGATATATAAATAGGATGTTATAAAGTGGTATGTATGTAAATTTCCCAAAATTTTATAGTTATTTTATAGAATATTTAATTTTAAATCACAAAAAATAGCATTAATATTTATTTATTTTTAATAATATATATATTTTGATGTGATCAAGATATTAAAAATTTATATAACTAAATATAAAATTTAAATGTTAAATTTGTAAGAATTCTATGGTATATGTAAATCCCCTTGGATTATTATAGCTTCTATTTAAATGCAATTTGCTTCATTGCATTTGTACAATTATTCAATAATTTTTTACCATTATTGTTATATAATTTTTAAAAAGTGAGTTCCATGCCACAACATGGAGGCTAGTTAATACAACATTTGGCTTTTATGCAATTTGCTATGTTGGTATTGATGTTGATAATTGTTTGATGAGATTTAAGTTTTATTAGGGATAATTTTTTATCATTATTGTTATATAATTTTTAAAAAGTTTTTGAATTAAAAAGCTACTGTAGAAAGCAATAAAAAAATTATCCTAAACGAAACCTTAAGGTCTATTTAAAATGTTTATAGCTTTTTTAAAAGTGGATATAAATGTGTTACGATAAAAGTAGCTTTTTTTTAATGTTGTGATTGCCCTGTGAAAAGTAAAATAGGAAGAAAAATATCTCAAACGAAGTCTTAGGCTTCGTTTGGGACTGCTTTTTTTATTGCTTTCTAAAATGGAGTTTTAGTACAAATTTTTTTATTTTTAAACTAAAATTCCGTTTTAGAAAGCAATAAAAAAGCCGTCCCAAATGAAGCCTTAGGCTTCATTTGAGATGACTTTCTGATTGCTTTTTAAAACAATTTTTTAGTATAGAAGTTTTGATTTTTTAACTAAAAGGGCTATTTTAATAAGCAATAAGAAAGTAATTCCAAACAAAACCTTAAGCTTTGTTTGGAATAGTTTTTTTATTGTTTTTCAAAACAGTTTTTAAGTACGCTGTTTGAAGAAGTAGTAAGAAAGCCGTTCCAAATAAAGCCTTAGTACAATTGGGAATCCTCCAACTCATACTCGATTTCTCTCAAGCGGCAGCCGCTCTTAAGTGGGGCCCAATCAAGTGCGGACCAGGAGGTTTCTGAGGTGGGTGCCTCTTCTAGGTCAGCCGATGATTAGTCACGCCGCTATTTTATCCGTCTACTAGTGAAATACAAGTATTGCTTTGAGTTTTCTTTCAGATTTCTTCGAAATTCTGCTGTTAAACTGCTGTAAACAGCAGTTTTGCTGTGTTTTCCGACTGTGGACAGCAGTCCAGTCGCTGTTTGCTCACCGATTTTAGTTAGGTTACTTGCAAACTCAAGTACTTCCTATCAGAACCGTGTGGTGTCCAATGTAAAATGAATTATGTCTCTACATATAATTTATGCCATTTCATCCTACAAATTTCACTTTTGTCCTCATAAACCCTAAATTATTATTAATTATAAAATTCGATTTGGGCATCCGGACTGTAAAGAGGAATTAGATTTGGGCCATTTGGCCTTCTGGACAAGGAAATAGTTGTGTAAACAAACTAAGTTTTGGTAAGCCAAAGCATTATATGTCTCAATTCATTAAGTAAAAACCTAAGATTTCATAGTCATCTTTGGCTCATTTGCGTGTCAGGCCAAACAAGAACTGTTCAAGAACATACAGGCCAGGCGAGATGATCTAAACAAGTCTCGGCTAATTAAGTAAAAATGACTGCACAAAACATATCAAATTCTAGCTAATTAGCGAGCAAACATTTAGAGTAGGGTTTAGTGCTAAACAACAAATTGCAAGGCTTCTCTTATGTGTATACTTAAAAAGTAAAAGATTAAATTAGTATTTTAATTTAGAAATTTAAATAGCAAAGGATCAAGTGTCACTTATGCCAATATGCCCATACAAAAATAGTATTTTATAATTTTTGTTTCAAATATTGTATGATAGTTTAATCATAAAAATCTTAAAATAGTCTTCAAACTATTCATGTATGGTTAATTTAACCCATATAAGTATCACGTTGCCTCAATTTAGTTAGGGTGTCAAAACTTGACTCGACTCGACCCAACTCGAAACCTGAGCCAGACCTGGCCCGAAAAATTCTAGGTTATGGTCAACATGTTTGCTTTACAGGCCAGGTTCGTGTTTGAGATTTTGACCCGTTTATAAAACCAATTCGGGTTTGGGTTAACCCGAAATAACCCGGAGGCACCCGAATATACCCTATGCAGCACGATAGGCGATCCCACCCTTTGCAATCCGTAGCGCATCAGCCAACGCTCAATCCTGATCCGGACTCTTGATCCCTACGCCGATAGACGACATCTCTGTTGTTCTCCTATTCCATACTTCAGGTTTCCCTATGTGTGTGACGTGTTCATCTAGACATCCATCACCTGTCATTGTTACAAGGGTGTCAAAACTTGACCCAGGCTTGACCCGAAAATTTTTGGATTAGAGTCCAACTCATTTGCTATATGTGACGGGTTCAAGATTCCAACCCATTTATAAAATCGGATCAGATTCGGATTGACCCGAAAACCTGAAATCACCCAGAGGCACCCAAATATACCCTCTGCAGCGCGATTGGCGATCCTACCCTCCATAATCCATAGTGCACCAGCCAGCGCTCGATCCATGCGCCAGCGGAAGGCGTCTTTGTTGTTCACATGTTCTGGACTTAAAGTTTCCAAATGTGTGATGCGTTCATCCAGGCGTCCATCACTTGACATTGCTGACCGTGGATCAGATGCACTGATGCAGCACACCAAAAGGACAACGCTTGACGGCTCGATCTCGGACCCGCATCCCAACTCTAAATCCCCGACATTGCTGATCGCGAATTAGACGGAGCACAATAGCACTCGATCCGGATTAAACAAACTCTTGATCTTGGACTCCCCATACGCAAAACTGGGTTCCCGGTTCGAGTCAACTGGTAACCTGTCGGGCCAAGTTCAGATTGGAGAGCCTGACCCGTTTACAAAATCGAGTCGGTTTAAGGTCAACCCATTTGGAGCCAGATCAATTTGGGTTGGACCTGAACCCGACCTATTGACCTGTTTTGACACCCCTGAATTTAGTCCATCGACTATACAAATTAATACAAAATAGTCCTTCATTTTGTAATTATGATATAAAATTGACCTCAATTTAATCTTAAATAGACCATCTTGGATCAATTTTATATAATCAAGTGACTAAATTAGAGCAATGTTATATTATGGGATTAAAATGATCACATGTGAATAATTGAGGACTATTTTAAAATTTATGTTTAATTTGCCTATTTATTCCATCATAATTTGATTTCTTAAGTAAAATTTTTACCACAATGAACAACTACTTTTAGGAAAATATATTATGGAAGGACAAGTCGATCAAAGAACATATTTATTCAAGGGCAAAGACATTTAAGTCAACAACTTTTAGTCCTTATTTGCTCTTTTGTAAAGGGATGTGGGCTCCAAAAATTCACTCCATGCTTACAAGGTACCCTTGGACGAAGCAACCCATGGATTTCGACAATGATCATTCTGTCTGGTTGAGTCGACTATCTCCTCTGACTAAGTAGACCAAGGACCACGATGACCTAGGACGATGGAACCATATGATCTTGATCAGGTTCATCATCATTTCTCCCACCATCCGCTTTAAGTGCAAGGTAAGAAATTTTCAATTTTAAACATTAAATTTTGAAAAACCTAACTCATGTTGCTACTATAAGCCGAATACTATGTATCTATTGGATGACTAGCATTAATCGAAAGTTCTCTCTTGTTATCGGGAGGGGTAATTAACTATAGGGGTTTGCGCCTATAAGAAACCTGAGCTCAATTTATAAAGTCCTCATAAAATGAGGGCAAAATCTCTATGTAATGTCTACTCTAAAATCTAATCTACCTTTTGAAAATTTGCCTTGGAACTTAAGTGTTAAAACTCTCATCGACGACCCGAATGAAAATAAAGGAGTCTGTGGAGATGTCGGGTCATGAATTTTTAGAGCCCACAGAAATATAATACATCTATTCTTCTAATTGGTTCATCAAAAGGCCAACATTTTTTGACCAAACAATCTAAAGAAGTTGTCTCTAATCTAATCTTATATGTCACTAGAGCTACTCCAACTTTTTCATGGATATGCTCGTTTCACATTCTTTCTTAAAGCATCCTTCAAGTTCCAAAAAATAGTCAATCATGGATTCCTTAAAATATATGTTAAACTGTTTAGCATTATTAAAAAAAACATATGCATGTACCTGAATAATTATTATACACTTGCATCACATTCTTTCTTAAACTATCCTTCCAGTTCCAAAAAATAGTCAATCATGGATTCCTCAATATATGTTAAACTGTTTGCCTTCCATTTGACTTGATATTGTTAGCCATAAAAGGTATGGACCATCCAGTAAACTGAAGTTCTGGGCCTGTTCAACAGAAGAGCAATGCTCCACCCATACCCATAATGTAGTTTTCCACAACTAAGATCTCGTAATTCAATGCTAAATCCATCACCAGTAATCACCACAAGTACAGAAACCATCTTTAAAATGGTGAAAACGATTTGCATCTCGAACTATTATTTCTCTTTCCACAAGCTTTGAAATAAGCTTAGTAGCAGAGTGACAGTTGACACAAGCCCGGAGATTCTTTGTAATTCGAAGGGTTGTACCAGGAGGAGTGCAAAGAAGACCATATGCCATTGCTATCCTCTCACTGTGATTACACAATGATAGCTCCTTCTCCTCTGGGCCCAGATCATGCAAGACAGAGTCCATATGAGGTAAAAATCCAGATTTTTTTAGTTTCCTCTCCAGTTCATCCATCATTGCAAGTATTTCCTTTGATCTTGGGTGAGACTTGTCCCCAGCATAAAAAGATTGAAGCTTTCCATTAATTTCAATAGAGCTGAATCCCATGGACTTAGTAGCTCCTCTTTCCCTCATTAATACTCGAACCCTTGCAACATCTTTCCACAAACCAGCAGAAGCATATATGTTGGAAAGTTGAACATAGTGGCCAGCATTCCATGGTTCTATAGCAAAAACTCTTTCCGCAGCATATTTTCCAAGCTCCACCTGACCATGAATCCTGCATGCATTCAGTAAAGCCCCCCACACGGTTACCTCTGGCGCCATTGGCATTCCTTTGATAAACTCATAAGCTTCTTCAAGATGTCCAGCACGAGCAAGAAGATCGACAAGGCATGCGTAATGTTGATGCCGAGGCTCTACTCCATGGTTTCTCATCAAATAAAAATATTTTCGACCGTCGTGAACCAATCCGGCATGCTTGCATGCTGAAAGAAGCCCAATAAATGTGATATCATTTGGTCTAATCTGAGATTGAATCATCTCGTGGAATAGACAAATTGCTTCCTTTCCCTGACCATACAATCCATAACCCATGATCATAGCACTCCACACAACTACATCCTTGTGAGGAATATTATCAAACACTCTACGAGCAAGAACCACACTTCCACACTTTGCATACATATCAATGATGGCCGTGTTAACAAAAACGTCATCTTTTAAGTCACTATTACTAACAAACTCCCAAATCCACTTTGCAGCTTCAAGAGATCCAACTTGGGCGCAAGCCAGAATAGCCGATCGCAGCGTGATTGAATCGGGCTTGACTTTTCTTGCAACCATCTTCTTGAAGAGCTCCACAGCTTCATCCGCATGGCCATTCTTCGCATACCCAGAGATCATTGCGTTCCAAAGGATGAGCTCTGGTGAAAGCACCTGGTCAAACATATTCCTTGCAGTATTCACCTGGCCACATTTTGCATACAAGGAAGTGAGAGTAATGAGCAAATCCGGTTCATCTTCAAGCCCAAACTTCACCACTAAACCATGAACGCATCTTCCCTGGCCCAAATCTCCAACGTCTATATAAGCCTTCAAAACACTAACCAATGCTATGAAGTCTGGAATGATAGGAGAATCCAACCTCATTGTTCGGAAAATGTAAAGAGCTTCTAGAGGGAATCCATTCTGAGCATAACCTGACATAATTGAGGTCCAGGAAACCACATTTCGAAGAGACAACAAGTCAAACACCTTATGGGCAGTCGAAATCTCACCAAACCTTGAATACATTACAATGACTCCGTTCTGGATGAAGGTGGCAGCTTCGAAGCCAAGGCGGATGATATGGGCGTGAACGGCACAACCGAAGACGAGGGCAGGGAGAGCTGTGCAGGCCTTGAGGATGCATGGGAGAGTCAAGCCATTTGGAAGATGGCCATTTCGAAGAATGGTGACATAGACTAGGAGCACTTCGGAGAAGGAGCGACGGTGGGAGAGGCGATTGATGGTGTTGTTAAAGCAAGAAAGTTCAGGTTGGGAGATTTCGTCGAGCTGCTGGTGAGCAAGTGAACAAGAAAGGTGGAGTTTTTGCATTCGGTGGAATGGGTATACGATGTACCTTAGAGGGGAAGGAGTGAAGAGGAATAAGGCGGGGGAGTAGCAGACGGAGTGGAATCGAAAGAATGGAAGAGAAAAGCGCGAGAGTAGAGCGCGGGAAGCCATCTCGTAATCATGGCATTCAATGAAATTCAAATTTCTAACCAGGAGACAAGATAGACAGATCTCCTTAGGAATGTTTTTAATAGCACAAACATTTATATATCTAACAATCTAAAAATCTAATATTACATGCCTACGATCCACATAACAAATATGGGTGCATGAAATAAAATAGGGGGATTTACATGCATACCACTTTATTTCATGTGATTTACATATCTAACACCTAAAATATTATTATTATATGACTATCATCCATAGAACAAATTTAGGTGCATGGAATGAAATATTAAAGTTTATAAGATGGTATGAATGACAGAAATGAATTATATGAGTGATATATTTGATAAGTTATATATGTGTGATAGACATGTACTATTAATGTTTTAAGTGTTAGATATGTAAATAGCATGAAATAAAGTGATATGTATGTAAATTTTCCAATAAAATATTAAAGTTCATATGATGATATGGGTGGTAAGAATGAAATATATGAGTGATATATTTGATATTAAAATTTTATATGAGTAACATGAATGTAATATTAAAATTTTAAGTATTAGATATATAAATAATATGAAATAAAATAATATGTATGTAAATTCCTCTTTTTTTTATTTGCGACATTAGAATTACTATCACAGATAGTTTGATTATGTGATGTTTGATTTACTTTAAAAAAAAGAATGCAGAATAAAAGGAATGCACTAAAAAGAGAGTGTAATATATTTGAAACGTTTAGTTTTATTTGAATGAGTATAAAAGGAATGCATCATTTTATTTTTTTTATGTGGCTTGAAATATTATGAATGCAGTATAAAGTTCAAAATGATGGTAATTGATCGACGATGGAGGTTAACTCTGCGGCCATAGTGGTGATCGACGGGATGGCCAGCAAGGGCAAGACATGGCTGGCCACAGTATGGCAGGCAGGCAGAGGCGGGTAAGGGTGATAACAACATAGCTTAGTTGCAATAAAAATAATTTTCCTTTAAAATAATTTATGTTGTATTCCTTTTTCATACAATCAAATATCAATAATTTCAAAACTCCTGCAAAAAAAAATACTTTAAAACCAATTTACTTCCAACTAAATAGCCTCTAAGTAGATATTAATTCTTTTGTTTTTAAATTTGAATCAGATAATACATTTCCTTATTATATGACTATAATATGCGAATATTCTAATAGAGATTCCCACCCAATTTTTATCAGTAGTATTTATCCTGTTAAGTCGAAAGATGGAATATAAAGTCACCTCATCAAAGATAAAAAGTCATTACTGTGGCGGGCTAGAATATACGCGGCGGTAGAGTTAGAAAATTTTCGTCTGAGCGTTGCACGAATATCTAGCACATACAACAGAGGATAAAAGAACACCAGGATTTTTACATGGAAAACCCTGAAAAGGGGAAAAAACCACGGGGCACGTCTAGTTGAAAAGTTCCATTAGTGTCATTTGAGATACAAGAGGCTGATTCGTCCCACAAGTTAGGACGATCAGATTACAATGAGTTTCTTCTGAATTAAAATTCAGTTACAAAGTTGTGCAGAGTTCCGGCGTCACCTGAATATGCGGCAGAATTCCGGCGTTATTTAGGCGGCGGAAAGAACTTCGTCGGTGGTCGAGGAGGAGCTTATTCTCCTTTTCCTTCTCTTCTTCTTGCTTTGGTCCCCTCTCATGAGAAATGAGGGGCCTATTTATATATTTTCTGTAGTGGCATAACTCGTAAATAGGTGTGAGATCAAGGGCAAATAGGGAGTGGTCGAATGGACGGTCGATATTGAATCCCTTGATTGTGCACCGTTCGTTAGACATTTGAAGGTCTTAAAGATGTTAGAATTTGGTGATCTTTGGCTCGTTGGATTCTTCTCGTCGAGCCCTTCAATTCGACTATAAGTTCGTTAAAATCAGAGACCGTTTGGTAACTCAAATTGCAGTATGAGCTTTCTAACAGCAGTTCGGGTGCTTGATTTGGGCTCATTTGGGCTCGGATCGAGTTGAATTTGGTGTCGTTGAATTCGTATTTCCGAGACTCTCAGTTTGACTATAAGCTCACTGAAATCGGAGTTCGAGAGCTCCCAGATTTAATTTTTGAAGTTTACGGTTCAGTTTCGCCTCGAGAGTCGTGCTTATCAAGTTAATTTTTTGAGGATATATCAATTACAAAAGGAGAAAAAGTCTGCTCACCAAGCAAAAAAGCTAGAACACAAAATGCCATGAAAGATCTAAGCATATCATTATTGTCAACATAAGAAAGCAATAATAAATTAATAATGATAAGAGACAATGCCTCAAAGAAGTAATATTGAAGTTCTATTTTCTATATAAAAAAAAAATCTGATTAATATTTTAATTAGGATGAATTTCAATCAAGTATATTTGCTTTAAGATTGGCATAAGATAAATTATTTATATTTTATTTTTCTTAAAATAAATTTAATAATTTAGTCATAATGAATGTTATGATTATAAAAAGAAATTATGCGAAAGAAATGCATAGTTGAATATCAACTAGCCAAATAATTCTATTGATTTGGAAGAGCCAAATTAAATGAAACAAAAGGGTTAATAAATCCTAACAAAGTTTTTGATAAGGGCAAGCCTTAAATCTGTTAGATCTACTTTAAGATTAGTGTAATATGTATTAATACAACAATAACGATCATAATAATATCAAAACTTTATCCGAAGTACATAAGACAAAATCCTTTTCCAATGAACCATTCAAGGTGAAATTATTCTGTGCGGATACGAACGTCATCTCGAGGCGAATCAGAGCGCGTCACGTCACCCCTTTGATGTGTACCGCGAATGTGTACCCGTTGTGTACCAGATGACGTTGCATGCTCTGATCTGCATAATTTCTCCCATTCATGACTTTGACCCTGAACGTTGTATTGAAAACAAATATCACAGTAAGCAATTTGAATGAATTAACATAAGGAAGAGTGGACTTCTCAATGCCTTTAATAAAAGATTAAAAGGAGAACGGTTAGGAGAACAAGAAAATTAAGAGTCTTAAAGGTAAAGATCTAAGCATGTTTTTGCTTAAAGGTAAAGATCTAAGCATGTTTTTGATGAGTAATAGATTTGTACTCATAAAAAATTCAACTAATTAAAAAAAATATGTTGGTATAATATTTAAATAGAAAATTTTTAAAATTAAATTTGGATTTATCTGAACTCCAATTTTAGGGGACTTAAAGGCTAAGGCTTCGTTTGGGACGGCTTTCTTTATGCTTCTTAAAATAGCTTTTAATATAAAAGTTAAAATTTTTGTACACAATAGCTACTTTAAGAAGTAGCAAAAAAGCCGTCCCAAACAAAGTGTAAGACTTGATTTGAGACGATTTTTTTAATGTTTCTTAAAACAGCTTTTTAGTACAAAATTTTTAAATTTTATACTATAAAGCTTCTTTAAGAAGTGGTAGGAAAGCAGCCCCAAACTAAGCCTCTAGCTTTGTTTGGGACAACTATTGGCCATAGCTTTTTTGCTACTTTTAGTAAATCTTTGTATTAGCATGTTGTTGCAGAAAGCAGTGAGAAAATTATCCCAAATGAAGAATATAAATGAACATGTTGATGAGACAAAATCAATGATCTAAAAGTTTTTTGATTCAAGTATAAATTAGCCCAAATTAACCACTTGAATAATAATTGAAAAATTCATGATACTATTTGAGAGACCAAATGATCTTCAAACATTTCATAATTACATTTAATAGAGTTTCTCAGCTAGAGGATTCCAACAGAGCTCAAGATTACTCAATTTTGATGTCATTAAGATACTTAAATTCTTGAAAAAGAAGTTATGATTAAAGGAATCTACATGGATAATTCGAAGGAATATTTAAAAACTTTGGTCAAAAATTAATATATCACTTTCAAAAATTATAAATAGATCACCATTTTACTCATGAAACACAACTAAAATTGGAGAGACTTTAATAGAACTTAAGAAATCAAGCCCCTATCCAACAATCGATGCTCACAAATGCCGCCAACAATCGATGTTGCCCAACCATTGTCATCCGAACTCTGTTGCCTGACTGTCATTGCTTGATCAATGTCTCTGATTATCAGTTTCTAATCATATTGTCCCAACCGTCATCATCTAAGTCTTCAAATTTATCCAAGAGCGATAACTTAAAGTTCCTAAGATCCCAAATCCCCAAACCCTCAAATTATTTAGGAACATAATAAAGCTTTTAGCTTCTAGTTAGCCAACTAGATATAAACCACTACTATAATTGTTGCCTTTACAAAATTGTAGGACACCTCATTTTGAATATCTCCAAAAGAGTAGTTATGTTTTTATTTTGTTGTTTCATCATAAATTTCACACACATAAGTTCAAATATAACTAAAATACCACATAAATTTTTTGAAATATAATTTGAAATTTAGCAGAAAGAACCCTAAAAAATGTTAATTTTATTTAATTAAGAACACTGGCTGTCTTTCAAATTGTTTGAAGAAGTTCTTCACTTGTTATTAGGCTTCGTTTGGGACATTTTTTTACTGTTTTTTAAAACAATCTTTAATACAAAAATTTTTTAAATTAGAAATTTTTATACTAAAAAACTGTTTCAAAAAACAGTAAAAAAGTTGTCACAAACAAAACATTAGACGTTGCATAGAAAAATAGCATGCCTCATAAAAAGTTCTTTACAATTCTAATCAATTTTTGTTTCCTTTATTAGCACATATCGCACCATCTTAGTAGCTAATTCGATCAGTAATAATGGCCTATTTTGGCATTCTCTTTTGTTATAGTCCATTAACTTATCTTTCACTTCCCTTTATTAAAGTTTTGCAAAGTTAAGAAGGAATGGAATAAAGCCATTGGTCATTGTAAGGATGTTTCCAAAAGACTTTAGGGGTTTTGAACACGTTCATTTCATATGTTCATTTGATTTTTAAATTTGTTTATTTTTT